GTTTGATTAGGAGGGATGGACGCAAAGTCAGTTACTCTGTGGTTTCATAGATAATACACACACACACATATAAAAGAGGGGAATGTTTTAATAACAGCTACTCTTTGAAAGTAGGGGGGAATGTTGTTGGTTTCCATAATCATCAAAACAATATTTAGACTGAAACGTTCCTTAACAAGATCATCAGTCTTAGGCCCCGTCCACACGAAGTCAAAACGAACACGAAACGCTGATATTTTCCAAAACGTTTGCCGTAAAGACGAAGACGTAAAATAAATGTGATCGTCCACACGAATGCATGAAAACGCTGCAAAATGTATGCCAGGCCTGTAAGTGGCGCTGTCGTGCCAAAGCAAAAATAGGCGACGAAATGTTGGGCATGCGCACTAATATTTATACATGGTTGCCCTGCGGGTCCATTTTCGTGGTTCAGTCAAATTCAGGTGCTGAACTATGTCGTCGATATTGCTCTGTTCTTCCTGGAGATATTCCAGAAGACGAAGATTCTGTTGTAAGCCCGACAGCAGGGTGAGTAGCATGAGCAGCAACGGCGCCATTGTTGTTGTGATACTGTGTCGCGCATGCGTGTTTAGAGGCGACGCTATGACGCATGCTTGTAAAAAAAAATATGCAGTTAGAGCGTAAAGATGGAAACGCGAAAACGGCGTTTCGAAGTCTTCCCACTCTGAAGGCTGAATAAAAAAAAGAACGTTTACAGACCCCCGAAACGCCGGCTTCGTGTGGATGAGAGGCTGGTTTGGTGAAAAATTTGTGCGTTTAGGCCAGGGTTCGTCTTCGTGTGGACGGGGCCTTAAATGGTTTACAACGATGCAATCCAAATATTATTTTAATGTGCCTTGTGCTGCCTCAGATAAATGTGACAACCAGTACTTGGGACAATCAACATCAATCTCCCCTGATATGTTATTTATTTTTTTATGAAAATTAAGCGAAATCGATTAATTGGATTTGGTAGGAAAAAACACTTACTTACTTTACAGCAATTCTGGAATGAAGCACTGGGTTTTATATCCCCAGTATATCCTCTTTTCTGCTACCACATAAAGTTTTACAACACTTTCTGAGAAGTCCTGTTTTTTGCATGCCTTTCTTCCTCATAAATTACAATTGAGCCTTTGTGGTTTAGATTTTTGTTTAGTTTTTTATCCCTTTCATGTCACCCATGAGGGTTCAGCTTGTTCAGTCTCTTTGCGACTGTACAGGTGTGGACTTACATCATCCTTGATAACATGTAAGGGTTTTTTAAGATAGTTTTAATATCTTGTTGCTCTCATGATGGACCTGCTTGGACAGCAGTTGGGCATGTTGGCAGGGGGTTTTAATGTTCTCTTTTTGTAAACTTTTCTCTATACTATGGAATGACTAATTAGATTTTTGAAATTTATACTTAATTCTCATACCAGACTCACAAGCTTCTGAAGGTCTTGGTCACCCCAGATAATCAATAGTCAGGAACAAATCAAAATAAATCTATGTAATTTCTCAGTTTTTTTTAGGTGTTTATTTAAATGACTTAAATTCCTGTGACTAAAATTGATGTTAAATCCATACTTTAAACATCTTATGAAAACATTCAGGCTAGTCTGGTCACCCTTTTCTTTCATATAACCCTGTTCAGTGAAGTGCACTGAGATGACATCTGTTGTGAAATGGTCCACTTTAAAAAAAGTGGAATGAAACAAGAAAGAAGGGAACACACGCTGAGGTGTTTTGTTTTGTTACAGGGTTTAGAGCTGCAGGAGACGTCCTGCCACACAGTGGAGGCCCGTAGGGTGGATGAGGTTTTTGAGGCTGCCTTTGAGCGCCCAGAGAGGCTTGGCTTCACCCAGGGCTTTAATCTCCACTGGGGCAACGCCCTCACTCCCTGTGCTGCACTGGCGGTTCGAGTCTACTCTGATGCCAGAAATGTGCTCTCTGGCATCATTGACTCCCATGACAACCTAAAGAAACTTCAGGAGGACTTCATGAAAGTGCTGATCTGGTTACTCCTGCGGTATTGTGTGCAGAGGCATAAAGGACTGCTGTGGAGCAGTGAGCTTGGGTCATGCATTGGAGGTATGAAGTCCCAGTCAGCTCAGACTACTTGTAACCAGCCATCTGAGGCTGTTGTGGTAGAATCCAACATGTCCTCTCTCAGGTTCAGACAGGATAGCTCTAGTTTAACTTCTTTTGGAGACTGGTCAGATGAGGATGATCTATTCGGACCTCAACCAGCCAGACGGACCGTGGCATTAGTCACTGCAGAGGCCCAGCCTGGGCATTCAGTACTGCAGATCGGGGCCTCCCTGCCAGGCTCTGTAGAAATGGACAGTCTTTTTGAAAACATGGCCCTCTCTGCACTGCAGCCACTGCAGCCTCTGGGACTCGGTATCGGGCTGCCAGCTGTGGACAAAGGCCGAAACCCAGAGGTCCTTAGAGAAAGTCCTCATCCGAACTTCAGCTGTCCCCAGTCAGAGGTTTTCAACCTACCCCCAGGGTGGAGGACAGCACCATTACTCCCATCTCGCTTACTGCTGCTCAGGCCTTTGTTCCCGGAGGAATGGTTTCGGTTCAGCTTGGGGCGTTTTGGCCTCGCTGCACAGGGGGAGACCTCAGAAGACACGACAAAAGCTCTGAAGGAGGACGAGGTCTTAAAGGAGCTCCATGTGAAGGTGGCTCTTTCCTGTCTCATCTCTGTGGGGGCCGAGACTGCTTTCACCAGTCCGAGTTATATCTACAGGCTCTACTGTGGAGATGTGCCGTGGACAGAGGGACTGGACTGGCTGTCTTCAAGCAAAGAACTTTACCAGCTCACACTTCAGGCGTTCAGGTAGAAAACATGTTGAGGATACGCAGACTTTAACCCATGTTGATAGGACCACAGCCTCTATGAAAGTTCTGCCTCTGATTTTATTTTCCCACAGGTTTAGTTTCAAGCTGCTGTTTGATCAGGCGAGCCTGGGGCCGATGGAGTCCCCAGAGGAGTTGTTCAGCACTTTAGAGGAATATGAGAGGGACTGGTACATTGGCCTGGTGACAGAAAAAGGCTGGCATGACAGTGTCCTTCAGGAGAAGCCCTTCCTGTTCTCTCTGGGACATGACCTCACCATGGTAACTAAAAATATGTGCTAAGGCATTTTAAACACATAGATGTGCATCTTGATTAATTAGAATACAAATAAGAAGCTATTTGAGAAATTAAAATTAAATGCGGTGCTTAATTTTATGGCTTGATAATAAAAAGCCAAATCTTTCTTTTTATATGAAAATATCATGTTGCGGCAATGCAGTAAACATAAAAATGTAATTAAGTCTCAGGGCTTAAGAAGTTGACTGCTCTTAGAATGGTGTCTTTAAGCATATTAATGGAAAGTTGCACAAGCTAATGAGTTAATGAATCTTTGAGAGGATTGTGCAGCATAGTCAACTGAAGAGTTTGAGAAGTTGTCATCTCCCCATGTGTTTTATTTAGTCCAAAGTTAGAACATCCATCTGTCAAGATTTATGGAGATGCTGATTGTATTTTGCAGCAGTAATTTGCACCTGTCCTTACTTCCAGAGCTTCATAAAGCTGCTTCACTGAGCATTGTGTTACTGGGCCTTCTTATTTACCTGCAAACAGGTGACTCAACCCTGTAGAGCAGGCATCCCCAACCTCGAGGCCCGCTGTCCTGCAGGTTTTAGAGGTTTCCTTGCTCCAGCACAGCTGATTTTAATTAAAAGCTGATTACTAGGCTTTTGGTCTAGTGCAATCATTATAATCAGCTGTACTAAAGCAGGGCAACCTCTAAAACCTGCAGGACAGCGGGCCTCGAGGGCCGAGGTTGGGGATGCCTGATTGTCAGGAGGAAGAGAAGAGCTGATGGTTTCTGTTAAAGCAACCTGAGAGCAGACCCAAGGCTGCATTGATGCAGTTATTCGTGCAAAAGGAACATTGGATTCTTATGGAGTTATGTAGATGGGAATGCTGTTCAGTGGGCTCGTACTTCTATACTAAAAATTGCATATTCTAAATTAGGTTTTGTTATAAGCCGATATATTAAATAATCACTTTTTGTTAAATAAATGTATGATCTTTACTCTTAAAACTGGAAACTTTTCCGATATACCACTTTATTGAGGTGCATCTGTGCAGTTGATGCGTCGTCATTCTGCTGTAATAAGTTCAAATGTATGATGACATGGTTTCAGTCTCTGGACTTGTTTTCAGAAGAACCATCTTCTTTCCACAGGGCACCTACACAGGCAGAGTCCTGTCCCTGCAGGAGCAGTTGGTGCAAGTAGGCCGTCTGAACGGAGAGGGCGTTCGGGGTCAGTGGGCTAACCTTTCCTGGGAGCTCCTGTACGCCACAAACGATGATGAGGAGCGTTACAGCATCCAAGCCCACCCATTTATGCTCCGAAATCTAACTGTTCAGGCAGCCGATCCCCCTCTTGGATACCCCATTTACTCCTCTGCCCCCCTTCATTTCCCCTGCCTCTGACCTGTGGTACCTTCATCCCCCTTTATATTCATTTTACAGATGGAAATTACAGCTTGTGTAAAAAAAACAAAAACGACCTCAGTTTATCCTGGAGTTCTGGTTTCTAACTTGTTAACTTAGAGGTTCCACTGAGTACTGAAGGATTTAAGTTTTGAAGCCAAATTCAGTCAAACAGCTAGGGAGGTTCAAAGTAAGCTCATATATTGATCAATATTTGAATTTCAGACAATGACCAAGAAATTACTTCCTTTTTAGGAAGAAAGTGGATTTATTGTACTTTTAATGTTTCCATATAAAAGGGACGATTATTTGAATGTTTTCAGGATATCAAGGATGTGCCTTGGAAATATCTTGCTCTTTATGACAGTGCTATCATTTTTCGTTTACAATTCAGTTTACGGAAGTTCAAAAGGAATGTTCACAAAATTCTGTACATATTGTTGATTTTTATATGTGTAAATGTACATTCTTGAAATAAAATGTTGGCAAAAAAGAAATAAATCTTTTCTACACAGATTAGAGGGTTTTAAAAAGTTACGTCAAAAATTTTATTATGCATTGAAAGGTCAGTGCAAGTGCATCATCATTCTTGCATGTAGTCTTCAGGCCAGGTTGAAAAATGTCATCAAAGAGACTTAATACATCTGGGATGGAGGGAGCGCAGAGCTTTCAAAAGAGCTATCCTTCACCCTTAAATCTTTTCTGGTAGAAGGTAGAAAACATCCAGTGTCAGGAATGCAGTGAAGTCCTTCCCCTTCAGGATGCGTCTTTCAGGAGGTCTTTGGTTTAGTGAAGTATGCAGAGTCCGCATCCTACAACAGAAAGGGCCGACTGTCAGCTCCAATTTGGTGCAACGGTAAACAAAATCAGAATGGTACCTATTCAAGGATGAAAACTGAATGAGAGATTTTTAAATTTTCAGTAATTGTTCATGGCTACAAGCTTGACCCTGACATTGCTTTAACAATGTTGATGTCAGTGTTGAAAAATTTTGCTTGACTGGAAAAGATTTTTTTTTTCTTCATTTTCTTCTTTTATGCATCAAACTGTTCTGAAACTGGTTGGAGAACCACCTTCCTACGCGGCTCTCAGCGGTCCAGCAGAACCCGCAACATGTTGGTCGGTCGGAACTCTGATAAAAAGCTCAATGCCAATCCCTACTTGTTTCAACAAAGGCTAAAGCAAGGTTGGTAACAGCTCAGGCACTCCAGCTAAAAAAGACACGATTCAGAGCAGAATCCCTCCATTTTTCAAGAACTTTTCACAATATTCCTGAAACTGCCACTGAACTAGCCTCATTTTAAATATATTCAAATTGAAGTTATTTCTAAGCTTTATGTCCACATTAGCAAAGATAACTTTTGAATTTTGTCAATATTGACCATAAACCCGTGGAAGAAGGTGCCAAAACTGCACACATTTGTTACTTAAGTAGAAATATAGATACTGCAGTTTAAAAACACTGGTTAAAGTTGAAGTATCAACTTGACCTCTTTCCTCAAGTAAAAGTGAAAAAGTATGTGCTCCAAAAACTACCTAAAGTGTAAAGTAACCTTAAACAGCCAGATGCCACTATATGAATTGAAAGCTCAATTTTTCAACTATTTCTAAAAAAAATTCTTTGAGATAGGGCCAAGTATGAGGGAGGTCTTGTTAGTCTCCATCCCCAGATACGCTCTTGCCTGTGTCCGACCTTTCAGACATTTCAACATCTTCTTCTTAAACTAGCATAGTATAGACAATTCACATTTTCAGTTTGAAGAACACCTGCTTGTTTCTGATGACTTTCTTTAGCTAATCAATGAGTGTTTGCGTTATGAGTCATCCATTTACACTAGTTTTCTCTAGATGTGGATGGCGCCAATGATCTGCATTGGATGGAGAACATGACGTGAAATAAATATTTGTTAACATTAAACCGAAGCCAAGAGTAACGAGTAACGTTTGTTTTAGAAATATAAGGAATAGAAAGTACAGATACTGGTGTGAAAATTTAATGAGTAGAAGTCAGAAGTAGGAAGAAAAATAAGTATTGGAGTAAAGTATAGATGCCTAAAAAGTGTGCTTAAGTACAGTAACAAAGTATTTGTACTTTGATGCTTGACTCCTCTGGAAGGTGCCCAGGAAGGAGAGGAGATCAGATTTACTCCTTTGAACAACAGGTGCTGGTCATAAAATTAGAATATCATGAAAAAGTAGATTGATTTCAGTAATTCCATTTAAAAAGTGAAACTTGTATATTATATTCATACATTACATACACATATACATTACATACATTTATTTTGTTTAATTTTGATGATTACAAATGACAAAAAATGAAAATCTCAAATTCATCATATCAGAAAATTAGAATATTGTGAAAAGGTTCAAAATTGATGGCCCCTGGTGCCACACTCTAATCAGCTAATTAACTCAAACCACCTGCAAAAGCCTTTAAATGGTCTTTCAGTCTAGTTCTATAGGCTACACAATCATGGGGAAGACTGCTGACTTGACAGTTGTCCAAAAGACGACCATCGACACCTTGCACAAGGAGGGCAAGACACAAAAGGTCATCGCTAAAGAGGCTGGCTGTTCACAGAGCTCAGTGTCCAAGCACATTAATAGAGAGGCGAAGGGAAGGAAAAGATGTGGTCGAAAAAAGTGTACAAGCAAGAGAGATAACCGCACCCTGGAGAGGATTGTGAAACAAAACCCATTCAAAAATGTGGGGGAGATTCACAAAGAGTGGACTGCAGCTGGAGTGAGTGCTTCAAGAACCACCACACACAGACGTATGAAAGACATGGGTTTCTGCTGTCGCATTCCTTGTGTCAAGCCACTCTTGAACCACAGACAGCGTCAGAAGCGTCTTGCCTGGGCTAAAGAGAAACAGGACTGGACTGCTGGTGAGTGGTCCAAAGTCATGTTCTCTGATGAAAGTAAATTTTGCATTTCCTTTGGAAATCAAGGTCCCAGAGTCTGGAGGAAAAGAAGAGAGGCACTTCATCCCCGTTGCTTGAAGTCCAGTGTAAAGTTTCCACAGTCAGTGATGGTTTGGGGTGCCATGTCATCTGCTGGTGTTGGTCCATTGTGTTTTCTGAGGTCCAGGGTCAACGCAGCCACATACCAGGAAGTTTTAGAGCACTTCATGCTTCCTGCAGCTGACCAACTTTTTGGAGATGCAGATTTCATTTTCCAACAGGACTTGGCACCTGCACACAGTGCCAAAGCTACCAGTACCTGGTTGAAGGACCATGGTATCCCTGTTCTTAATTGGCCAGCAAACTCTCCTGACCTTAACCCCATAGAAAATCTATGGGGTATTGTGAAGAAGAAGATGCAATACACCAGACCCAACAATTCAGAAGAGCTAAAAGCCACTATTAGAGCAACCTGGGCTATCATAACACCTGAGCAGTGCCACAGACTGATCGACTCCATGCCACGCCGCATTGCTGCAGTAATACAGGCCAAAGGAGGCCCAACTAAATACTGAGTGCTGTACATGCTCATACTTTTCATGTTCATACTTTTCAGTTGGCCAACATTTCTATAAATCCTTTGTTTTTATTGGTCTTCAGTAATATTCTAATTTTCTGATATGATGAATTTGAGATTTTCATTTGTTGTCATTTGTAATCATCAAAATTAAACAAAATAAACATCTGAAATATATGAGTTTGTATGTAATGTATGAATATAATATACAAGTTTCACTTTTTAAATGGAATTACTGAAATCAATCTACTTTTTCATGATATTCTAATTTTATGACCAGCACCTGTACATACAAGGCAATATACAAGGCAGAACATCTCCCTGGACATTATTGCCTTGCTTTGGAACACTGGTGGCACGATCATAATGTGGAGGACAGGAAAGCCTAACAGAGTTAAAAGCTGAATAAATTACAATCCCAGAAGACAACCTGTTTGTGTCTTAAAAAGGTAATAGTTTGGATTTATTTAATGGAAAAAAGCAGTGTTGTATAAAGTACTGAAATGTCGGAGTCAAGTAAAAGTATAAGTACCTCTCCAAAATATGACTTTGGTAAAAGTCCAAGTCACTGACTGAAATGTTACTTGACTAAAAGTCTTAAAGTATCTGAAATGGCTTGTACTTAAGTATAAGTATTACTGTAAAAATAGATGTACTCAAGTAATGTAGTGAAAAGTATAAGTAAAAAGTAAGTGCTGTTTTTACATTTTTTTTAAACTTTGAAGGTTAAATTCACTTAAAATAATATAAACAACCAAGTGTAGGATAAATTTAGACTGGCTTTGCAAAACAGGCGTATCTTATTGGTGTTGATAAACAAGCCCATGCAAGACCCGATTTTGTAGTCAGTAGGTGGGGTGAAAACACTTGCGTTTCTCTCGCACTTTTTTATTTTTTAAACTTAGTAACTAAACCAAACATTGAAAATGTATCAGAGTAAAAGTATGCAATTAAGTTCGTAAATGTAGTGAAGTAAAAGTGAAAGTTCTCAAAAAAAATTTATACTGTAAAAAGTACTCCAAAATATACTTAAGTACAGTAGTAGAAAAAAGTGATTGCTTTAGTTCAATCTGCGTCTATTCACATAATATCCAACATGTCTGAAACCAAATTGTAAGAAACACCTTATTTTAATGGGTTTATGCAACAGCTTAACCTAAAAAAAAAAGTCCTAACATAATAAAATAATAATATGCATTTAAACACAGCAGAATATGGCTACATAACACTGTGGTCAAACACTCTCCATCCAATCTAACTGAGCTTGAACTATTTGTTAAGACTTATGAGTCAAGCTTTAGCCCCAAAGCTGATGGAGATCTATGCCCCCAACACCTTCAGGTGTAAACTCAGCCACGCAGGGTTAAACAATGATAAACCCTTGGATGGATGAATACATAAACATAATACTGACTTTTATGCGCTTTTCCACTTGCAATCACCTCTATGTAGCATTGATTTTAGCCTCATTAAAGTCAAGCACATACCAGACCAGCTTTGAAATTCTGCACCCTTTTTCTTCCCAACAAGTTGGTCATGGCCCAGGCGACAGTTGGCGCATACTGCCAGGCGTAGTAAAACAGGAGGAAGGGCTGCTGGGCGATCCACATTTCCTTCACATCGTTGGCAATCCCCACTAGCATCAAACGCACACAGCGACTCGTCGGCATCTTGTGTTCCTGGCTGCCAACTGTGGCCACGGGCTAAGAGAGGAGACGTTACTGAGAACAGAAATAGCCATTGTGCCACATAAAGTGGAAAGAAGCAAGAGCAAATAAAATGTGTTACCTTGCTTAGTTCTTCAGTGAAGGCATTGTCGACGATCTGTGACTGCACTGGCCCTGGACATACCATGCTGATGAGAATATTTGGAAAGTCTGTCAACTCAGTTCTAAGGGAGTTAAAGAAACCCTATGGATGAAAAAAAAAAATAATCCACAAATTATGCTGTGATAACAGAAATGATCATTTACAAATGTAAATGACTGAAAATGTGGATTTTAAAATCCCTTCACCTGGAGAGCGTGCTTGCTTGCAGAGTATCCCGTTGCCAGGGGTGCCCCAGCCAGGCCGACCACACTGCTGACGGTCACAATACTGCCTTTGCCTCTCTGGGTCATATGGGGCAGCACCTCCTTGGTCAAAGACACCGTGCCAAGGAAGTTGAGCTCCATTAAGGCCTGATACACCTCAACACGGGTCTCCAAGCACAGAGAGCGCTGACTCCGCCCCCCATTGTTAATTAGGACGTCAATCTAAGGATAACATTCGGAAAATGTCAGTTTGAAACTTAAAACACACAAAGTGGAACCAGTTATCCTGACTGTCTTTGTTTTGTTTCTAAATGGTTAAATAATAGAAGCTGCACATAGACGGCGTCCCAGGGAAGTTTTACATGTGCTTGCATGAAACTTCAGAACACTATAATGCTTTCTCAACTATCCTTTCAGTATGCTCAGAGGGAACATCATCTTTAAGGATGTTTCTCAAGGTCTAGCACTTGGATCGCTTCTTTTTATCATCGCCAATAGTTATCTTGCTCTTAATATGCCCAATAATAATGTTCACCATTGATTGATGATAGTCAAATATTTTGCTACGCCTCACAAGAAATGTCTCTCACTAAGCTTTCAAATACCTTCAGTATTAAAAAAAAAAGAAAACACAAAACATTTTTGTTTAAGAGCAGGAACAATTATAATCATTTTAAAAAGACAAGAATTAAATTATTAAACGGCAGACCTTCCCCTCCAACTGGGCTTAGAGATTTATCTTATAGCCACATAGTGAAAATATCTTGGCATTTCTGGCATCTATATAAAAAAAATAGAACTATGGATTTTTATTTTGAAAATGTTTCTGATTTTACTTTTAAAGCCAAACAGATTTGTTTCTGAAACCTTTATGTTGGTATTGAATTATGGTGATGTTTACACCCAAGGGACCTGGCCTGTCTTACTTAAATTTATAACAAAGGTCCTACAATGAATTACATATCTGAGGGTTGACAGGTCTCCCCTATCCATCAAAAGATTCAATAAAGGGTCGATCCCCTTTAATAAAACAATACTATCTACGTACATAAGCTATTTAAAGCAAAAGATTGTTTGATGCTTCTTCACCTTCTCATGGTCCTGAGGGAGCTAGGAAAGAGGTATGTTTAAAATATTCCAACTTAAATTACCGTAAATTCCGGACAATAAACCGCTACTTTTTTCCCGCGGTTTGAACACTGCAGCCTATAATACAGTGCGGTTAATACATGTTTTTTTTTTCAACGGTTGCAGTGTGAAAACATCCAGCATCACCGGCGGGTTTCGGAACGCTGGGCTGCTGCGGGATAAAGAGGACCGCGAGTGATCAAGTGAGAGCGACAAGGATGAGACTGAAGTCAGTGACAGCATCCTGAAGCTGTTCCATTCAGACACAGAGGAATAGGACTTTGAGGGTTTTAGTGCGCAGGAGGAAGAAGAAAGTGATTAATGACTTTTCCTGGTCGGCTGCAATGTTCTGTGCGTTGTTTAATTAAAAGTACCGGTATATGCAGCGTTATTTGCGTGTTACCGACACATACGTATGTTTAAATGTGTTACAGGTAGTCTGAAAAAAAAAAAAAAGCATTTATAATATGTACCGTATTTGTTTGTTTTATCATACGGATTAAATCAAATGTTAAAAAAATGCTCACGTGTAATATCTTTATTAGTAAATAGCTCATACAACGTGGGAAACCTGCGGCTTAAAATCTGGTGCGGCTTATAAAAGTATTTTCTTTCTAAAATTAGAGCGTGCAGCTTGTAATCAGGTATGCTCTATAGTCCGGAATTTACGGTACTTGCAGAGTTTTATATGCGTCAAGGAGCTGTTCTCTTTAATAGATAATAATTTTTAATCAGTTAATAATTGATAGTTTTTACAATTTTAAAATAAGTACATCATGTCTAAGGCTACTTTAAAACTTTTGCTTCTGATGATTTTACTTTTTAAGATGTCTTTGTTTTATTCCTGCTCACTTAGCTCAAAGATTTTTCCATTCAAATTCGGGTTTCTTTGTTAAAAAGGAGGAATTAAGTGAATGTTAAATTACAAACTGTTAATGAATGAAATCTGGTGCCCTTACATGCCCGAAGTATTCAATTGCAGTTTTTGCTTTTTCCATGTGCGACTTCCTGTCCAATAAGTCAAGAGAAAGAACAAGAATCTCCTCATCTTTCAGGGAGGAATTCTCTAAAAAGGAAAAAAAGTAGACTGGTGAAAACTGGAGAGATGAAAGATAAAGGTGAAAATGATTTTAAAACCACAGAACTGACCCAGACATTGACGTTTGACTCGTTTAAGTTGGTCTTCACGGCGGGCAGATAGGATGAGACGTGACCCGCACCTCGCCAGCTGATAGGCCAGTTCTTCTCCAATCCCACTGGAGGCTCCAGTGACCCAGACCACCAGCCCTTTTAGCTTGGTTTCTAAGAATAAAACAAGATGCAATAACGCCTCTAATTAATTCACAGTTATCTTAATACAGAACATTTGTAAACTTTTTATCAGTTTATGAACTTCTTAGCAAATTGGTTTGAAAATAAAATTGCACCACTTGGGTCCCTTGTTATTGAAATATCTTAACTATTTCAACTTTTCTAAATGTATGGTTTCTTTTTTTTCTCTCTTTTAGGAAACAAAAATGCTATCAATACAAAATAGATATTTTGCAGGTTACTTGTTTGAAGCTGTGGGTTAAAAATGTCTGAGTAGTATGAGCCGATACATCGGCTAACCGATGTTTTTGACCAATATTTCCATTTTTTAAACTTTTTTTCTTGTTTCTGCATTTTTGTCTTGTAAATGAAACATGTTTTTTTTCTGTCAGACTCCTATTAATTGAAGCACTATTAAATCAATCCTGCTTCACAGCAAAATGCAGCAGGTAGTCAGGTCCCTCCACCTACTGAGAAACAAGTCAAGCAACAGTTAAGTAGGAAAAAAGAGCTAGATTGGTTAAGATAAATAAAATATTGTTTGCTTTCAAAATCATATCTAGTTAACTCCTGCATTCCCAAAGAAGAAGAAGTAAAGTAAAAAAATATGTATTATTACGATGGTACATTTGCCCGGTTCTTAATCTACCTATATATTTATGAGACAGATGCATCTGAATGCTACTTGGGTTTCTAAAGGATAATTTTGCCGCACATGGTGAGAAATTCCTCAGAACAAAGCAGATATGTTGGTAATTTATATTCGATCATTAAGTTTTCTCCTGCTATAAAATATCCAAGTGTCTGCTGGTTTATCCAAAGCAAGCCTGAGGTGTGAATGTAGTTTGCGGATGCTTGTCGGCTGCAAAGGAAACTGTGCGAACCAAGGACAAATTGATCAGTAACAACATTCAACATCATTTTCTGATCGGCGCATTTCTGCTTCCACCCCCCCCCAATCACTAATGCTATTAATTTGTTTAAAATTGGTGTCTTTGCAATACCCAACAGATTAATTGATTTTTATTTAAAGGATGTTTCACTCCCACACAGTAGCTCTGGTTTTTGTATTTCTGTTTCTGTCTCCTTGAACCCCAGTCAGCTTCGGCAGATGGCCGCTCACACTGAGCCTTGATCTGCTGGAGGTTTCTTCCTGTTAAAAGGGAGTTTTTCCTCTCTTCTGTCGCTAAAAGCATGCTTAGAGAGAGGGATTAACTTCGAGTCAATGAGTCGATGCAATCAACTGATTTTCCTTTGATAGAAAACTTTGAATCAATTTGACTGTATGATCTGGTGAACTGTAAAGTGCCTTGAGATGACGTGTGTTGTGAATTGGCTCTGTATAAATAAACTGAATTGAATTAAATGTTGCAGTGTTAAAGTAACACTTAAAGAGTACATTTGGTCCCACACCAAGTCAGAGTGGGATCAATTGTACTCTTACACTGCAACATTTGCCACATATTTAGATGGGAAATATCTTTGAGGAGCAGAATGGTGCAAACATAATAAATCAAAGGATAAAGTACGCCCTTTGGATTAACTTCATGTCCCCAAACACTGTTTCAGAATAATCCTTGGCCTTACAGCCAATGTAGATGGAAACTTCTTCAATGTTCTTTAATAAGATTTCTATATTAAATGGGAAATCTAGATTTACTTTTTTGTTCTCTAATTTTAATAGTATAGATGTTAGGAGGTGTCCAGCTCAGAGCCAGTGTCCTGCAACATTTGCATCATTTTGTTTTTGACCTGACACCTCTGGGCCACCGTACATCCCTGCTTGATCACTCCTGAACTAGCTGGCTAAATCATCTCCTGCAGAGGTCAACTAGTTATCTATGTATTTTAATATTCAGTTTTAAATCCTGCATTTTGAATGCACTATTCAGAAGAGAAAGAGCAAATAAATAAATAAATGCATTCATTTTCTGCCTTTTAATTTACAAATTAAGACAAATTATACCCCCGACCCATTACATTTGATCAGGTAATTTTGACCCATAATGCAAAGGTTTTACACTCCAGTTACACATGCAAAGGTGCAAAGATCACCTGCAGCAATTTAAACCTTATGCAATAAAGTCCTGCTATCAATCCCTAATTATCTATCTTCATATTTCACGGCTGCAAACAACACATTTTGTGTCAGTTGCACACTGTTCACACATTAATGCTCCTGATCTCACCTGGTCTGTGTCCTGTTAGACTGGCCCTCAGGAGCGTGAAGTCAGCGTCCCCAAAAATAAAACACACGATGTGGACCAGAAAACAGAGAGGAATAAAATACCAGAGGAGAGAGGAAATACACCAGTCCATGAGGAAGGAAAGCCGGAGTTTGACTCCGAGACTGAAACTATTGATGAGGGGAAGCTAACAGCTAATAACGTCACTTCCTGCACTTAAGGATTTTCAAAATTAAGGTCAGGAACTGCTCACTATAAGGGCAGAAGCTAGTAGAAACATTTTGTTTTACTCAGAAACTTGGCCAGATATTTTAATAGAAATTCAACAAACACTATATAGAATAAATATGATGGGTTAAATAATAAATTTTGTATGCATACCAGCACATTATGAAGTTAAAGGAAATTAGCAGGTAGATAATGCAGCAAAAGAAGCTGTTAGAAATTTGTCAGTGGATTTAATTACTACCCTAAGCAAAAAGTAATATACTTGAAGTAAATTCTATTAAGAATACTTAAGTATAAATATAAGTTCAGAAAGTATACCCGAAAATATGTACTTTAGTGTACCTGGAAGTATTACTGAAGTGATTCTTCTTCAAACTAAATTGGGATATTTTTTTAAGTTTACTAAGTATACTTAAAGTATACTTTAAACATTAAAGTAAACAATAGTATAGTCAAGTACACTTGACTATACTATTGACTATACTATTGTTAAGTATATGAAATATAGTTTAGAATAAGTAAACTGTATGTGCACTGCCTCATTTTAAGTATGAAATTAGTGCACTTTCAGTATACTTGAATAAACTACTTTTTGCTAAGGGTAATTTTAGTAAATCGGAAGTTAAAATGTTAACTAAGCAGAAAACGAAGGACGTATGGCAAAAGGAATGGGAAAAAGGAAAAAAGTATGTTGGTTTTATAAAATTCAAAAGAAAACTGGGGAAAAGAGAAGAACAGGAAGAACAAGAAGAGAAGAAACAATTATTTCTCGATTGACGTTTGCTCACACTGGATTAAACAGTGCTCTGTTTATCTTAGGCAAACATAGGGATGGTAAATAAATATGAGGAGGAGAGATAGCCATTCATTCAAAATTTAAGTAAAGTAAAAGTTAAATAAGATTTATTTGAAATATTCAGAAGTCATTTTGACAGTAACATTTATAGAATAATGTTTAGATATCTAAAAATAACACATTTGTATAATAGAATTTAGCTCCTGAGAGTCATTTCGGTCCACACTTCATTCCATTAATTAGCGGAAATGCATCTATCTGTTGTTTGCCAACCGCCAAAACATTTTTAAAGAAGAACATTTTGTTTTGTTGTTTTGTTTTGTTGCACAAACATGTTTTCGCAAATAAAAAACAAAAAGAGTGAAATTCATTTTTTTCAACCAAATTAACCTTTTAGGGGGTGTGTTTCTACTAGCTTCTGCCCTTATAGTGAACAGTGGACGTCTGTGAAGATTAGTTTCCAGGACTTAGGACTTTAACTCTGTTTCTAATTCCTGTTCCTTAGGTCTAACTGTCTAGAACAAGGGTGGGCAATTCCAGTTCCTGAGGGCTGGTATCCTTCAACTTTTAGGTTTGCCTTTGGTTCAACACACCTGAGTCAAGTAATTAGATGATTGAGAGGACTCCAGAGGAACTGAGTCTATACTGAGATGGTAAAAGCCATTTGCTTCAGGTGTTGGACAAAGGATGGATGTAAAAATAGCAGGATACCAGCCCTCAGGAAATGGAATTGCCCACCACTGGTCTAGAATGTCCACCTGACTTAAATACCTGTGTGATTAACATGCTCCTGCAAAAATTAAAGGCATGAATTCAATTTGATTCAGTTTATTTATATAGCGCCAATTCACAACACATGTCATCTCAAGGCACTTTAAAATTCAACCAGATCATACAGTCAAGTTTATTCAAAGTTTTCTATCAAAGGAAAATCAGTTGATTGGATCGACTCATGGACTCGAAGGTAATCCCTCACTCCAAGCATGCTTTTAGCGACAGTAGAGAGGAAAAACTCCCTTTTAACAGGAAGAAACCTCCAGCGGAACCAGACTCGGTGTGAGCAGTCATCTGTAGAGGCCGACTTCAGTTCAAGGAGACAGAAGCAGACATATATGCTCTGTTCAAAAACCTAGGACGCATCCTTAGAAGACCGGATTCGAAGGTCGATTACGTCATAGCGCGGCGCCGAGGTCTGGTCGGATTCCAAGAGTCCTCGTTATGCGGCCTTAAAATGCGTCCTTCTTTGTGCCCGATTTGAAGGACGGGTCTGATGTATCCTCTGTATTCTTGGATATCCCAGGATTCATTGCGAGACCAAGCAAGCTGTGATCAGAGTAAATGTTACTTGGCGCCGAACAGTGGTGAAAATTGGAAGTTCAGTTTAATATAATACAAGTCAGTGAATAGTTCAATCTGAGATGAATGAAAATAGTTGTTTTAATGGTTATTGAGTCAGATATGTGGCGGTAATGTTTGGTTTATCTAAAGGTTTTAATCTGTTACTGTGTAAATAGGTTTGGCTGTAATTTAAGGACAGATTCTAATATATCTGCAGAGTGGGGACTATAAATCTGATAGGATTTTTATCTTTTTATTGCTGCTTTGCACAATATGCTTAACTACGTATTTTTTGTTGTTGAATATTAGAGATTTTGCAGATATATTTTTTTATAAATACATTGTTTAGATTTACTTATATATTTCTACCCCTTTTATAGAATAGAACAGAAAATCCCTTTATTGTCCCACAATGGGCAGATTTACAGCAGCAGAAAGATTATTGAAAATGGTCACACAAATGTGGACCTTAGAAAAATGTATAAAAATAACATGATAGGGAAGAGTTAAAATATAAACAATACAATACTGTAAAGTGTTTTAACAATAGAAAACTGGGGAATAAATAACCAATAAGCAGCTATGGACATTTTTACAGTAATGGATATTTGAAAATAGCAGCAACATCAGAGATGTTCAAAATGACAGCAGCAGGTTATTTAACTGACTAAGGTTTCTCTCATTACATTTGAGTTGATTTGTTAATGCTCCCGGTGGTTGGAACATTTATTCCACTCTGGATTCCTGTTAGTGTAGTCTTTGTTCACTTCACAATAAAAAAAGAAATAAATAAACAGTTTTGAAAACTTCTGTATTCATTCTTTTCCTGCTTTGTGTGTCAACTTTCACAGTTGCTAAGCAACAGAGCATACTGCGGTAAAACCCGTCGAAGGGTAGACCTGGTCGAATTCACAGCCAAAACTCTTCCGGTCTCCTTATTTTCAAGGACTTCGAAGGATCCAGTCTAGGTAGACCGCGTCCTTGGAGGATCCAGTCTAGGTAGACCGCGTCCTTGGAGGACACGTCCTAGGTTTTCGAACAGAGCCATAGAGCTAGTTCCACAGGCACAGACACAGCCAGGCAGACAAGCTCTGAGCCAGCTCCCATGTCTGAGGATGAACAGAGCACATCCAGCCAAACACAGTCAGAGAAACAGGACTACACTGAAAAACAGGCTGAGCTTGAAGATCTAAAAACAAAGGTGTTGATGGCAGCAGCACAGCTGAGGACATCTCTAAATAACGAATGACTGTTGATCCCGAAGAACAGGTTAAAGAAACATTTGTTACACATGAACATGCTTTGATATAAACCATCCTATTACAGCTCTGGCTGGATGTTTAGGGTTATTCTACTAGAAACATCTGTGGAAACACAGCACATGTCATTAGAGATTTTTGTTACTTTAATTTATTTTCACTCTACCCAAGGGGTGAGTTTACACTAATCTGAGTCAGTCAGAGTGTTGCTTATCTCAATTGAACTTTTTACAGCTACAACATATCCACTCGTCAGATGTGCGAGATCACACATGGATACCACCAATACCAACAGGATACCAATTTACACTTGGAGTGTAAGTGAGCCAGCCAGCATGCATGCACATGTGCAAAAGTGGAATCTAACTATGGTTGATACCTCTATGTTCTTCCTACAAATCCAAGGAATGGTTTAGGGTCATTATGACTTCCTTTTCAACCCTATATGTGAGTGCCTTTATGAATACAGAGCAGTGAGAGTTTCTTGAAAAAATAAGTTTATTTTAGACACATGAAGTGTAACAGGGCAGCTTACCCTGCCATTAGAAGTGTATGTACTGGGAAGTGTCATGTTACTGGTAGTATTTCAAATAGCGTCCTAGCAGTTAGAGTAAATATACTGCAAAATGCAAAATATTTTCATATATTTAAAAGAATCATATAAAAATACTACACTTATTTACATTTTCTACGCAGTGTCTAGTTTAGAAAATCAATCAGAATCCTCCTCCTTGTGCTCTGTTTTCTTGAAAAAAGAGGAATAAGACCAACGTATTATTAGGCCATACTGAGACATGAAATGTACAGCATGTACTTTCTACTAGCTGTATTTACCAACCCTGTCCTGATTCAAGAGTTCAAACATGCAATCATATGCTATTTCCATTTCACGTTAATTACATGAATTGTTTTATAGTACGCTTGTGGAAAAAAAGATTTGATTTGATATACATTTTTTCTCAAGAAGTTCAAGAAGTTTTTGCATCTTAATGTATTTTGTTATCAGTTGTTTATATATTCTTACATGGTTATAAAAACTAAAGGTTTTTTATTTTTATTGTTTTATTCATTTAACGAATAGCATCAAACTGAGTACACTCTATTTCTTAGTCCCCCCCCCCCCCCCCCCCCCCCCCCGTTCTTTTTGCTAAAAACAACTCCATGAGATTCATGCATCTACCAGTCTCTGACATTGGTCTGTGGAAAGTTTTCCACACTCCTCACTTTCAGAAATTGGATGTTCTATTTTTTTATTTTCTATTTTTTTTTTTTTTTTGCTTTTTGTTTTTTCTTCATGCACCATCCATTTCAAATTGTGATAAAGACCCTGAAAGTTTTTAGTCTACTTAATAATTTGTCTTTTTTTGCTCACTCGTTAACATTTTGCAGCTTACATTATTCTATAGCTTTTTTCTTTGTTTTCTTTGTTTCAGGTTTTACTCAAACACCCTCTAATATTCAGTAGATTAATGGTGGATTCATTATTAGTGACCGGAGCAGCCCATACTGCATTGTAAGCATCTTCAGTCCTGGTTCTTGTTTGTCTTTTCCCTTGTTTAACTTTAGTCCAGCCTTCATATTTCATTACA